GAGCGGTCCGCCAAAAACAAGGCAATCTTTGATTATTTCTGAATAATACAAACTTTGGGGAATATCCACTTCAAACAAGTTATGACCTGTTAGTAACCTAATTAACAATTTATGTGGGACACGTGTCATTATCTTATTGGTTTGACCATTTAATTTGTTTTTTTAATTTCTAAAAGATTATTATTATTTTATTAAAAAAAAACTCCACCCATCTCCTCCACCAGCCACCAGCACCATCGGCGCCAACCTCCCTCCCAGTTCCCTGGCGTCGGCTGTGCCTAGATCCCCCTTCCTCGGCGCCGGCGCCAACCCCCTCCCCGCGTATCGTTCTCGTCCCTCTTCCCAACGCTTGCCTGAACCAAAAACCCCCACCTTGAAACCCTCCCTACCTCGCAAAACTACCTAAAACCCATCCCCCACCCTCGAAAAACCCTAATTGGACCTCCCCATCCATCACTAGGGGTTCGGTTAGGGTTTTTCGAGGGTGGGGGATGGGTCTTTGGTGGTTTTGCGGTGGAGGTAGGGTTTTGGGGAAGAGGGATTCGGTGGTTCAGGCCAGCGCCGGGGAAGAGGGAAGGGGGTGATGCGTGGGGGGAGGGGGAATCTGGGTGTGGCCGGCGCCGGGGGGAGGATAACGCCGGTGGTGTAACACCCTAGAAATTTATTTCCTTTAAAATACCTGTTTTTCTCTTTTAAAAATACGAATTAGGAAATTCTAAGACATTACCACCACCGTGAAAATAGCTAAGACAATTATCAAAGACTCACATCGGATGATTCACTTCAAAAATCATTCAAAACAAGTTAACTTATAAAGTCAAACCAAATGAAAGTAAAGTCAAACGAAGTCAACCTACAACTTGGAACCATTGTAGGCCCTTATCAACCCAAAACAAATTTTATAAACTTTTGTGTTAGTCTCACATGCAAAATATATGATAATCAAAACAATAAACCACATCATATTCTTATAGAAACTAAGCATGATTCGCTCTTCACTCATGCCCATCATGAATATGCTTCATCACCTGAAAAGGTTCTCTTTACTTTGTCCCCACTACTCGCCATTAAAAATGGGTCGTTGTAGGGCCAAGATAAAGACAAGGCCAAACAAACATACAAACACACAATTAGCAATGCTGAGTACATAAGCATAAACAGTATACACTTACATGCTTTCACCCTATCAACACACAACCTACCTTGTTGCACCTGTTTACAAGCATACAACACAACCAACCAATAAATAGCTAAATAAATTGCTTATTTAAATTGATTACGCATCGAACGGGTTTCCCACCAATTCCCTGCCCCAAATAAATTGAGGTAAACTACACCGGGAGCTAACCGGGTAGGCAAATGACACATGAAAGTAACTGGACGTCCCGTGCATAAATAAATAAAGGAAAATACAGCGTCCTGTACTCCTAGTTGAAGTTATGATCAAATATAAAGTCGCATAACTCCCCCCATATGTTCATACTCGAGGTATATACGTTCCAAGAGTTTTGATGCGTAATCTCTTACACTTTACGTGATTTACATATTTTTAGACTTGGTGATGACTCTCAAACCATAATACAATCAATCATAATAAATCATTCAAGCAATCAAACACACCAATTTAATTCTTGAATAATTAGTGACCACATAAATTAAATGTTGAACCTTTTTTAAACTACCTCGGCGTTAAATAACACCTTATGCGCATAAAGCACCGCAAATCCTATCTTTCAGTGTTTAGAACACCTTAAGTGTACTTAGGCACCGCAATACATTTTATTCCTGCGTACTAAGACACTTAATAGGTCAATTCTCATGCTTAAAGCATTAATAAAAATTATATGAACCATAATAAAATTTCCTTTTTATATCCCAAACCAAATTAAACATTTAGTATAATTAAACATACTCTCAATCATGCCAATATAATTAATTTCAATCATCAATTCTCCACAAATAATTCATACTTCACAATTCAATCACCAACATCAATTCAATCAACAATTCTAACCAATACCTATCATGATACTACCTCATAATTAATTAAACAAACCCTAACATGCTTCTATACACTTGAATAATTACCGAGTACGCGAACATACCTCAAATTTGATCTCAAAATCGCCACGACTACACGAAATCACTCACATGGAAATCTCCTAAAATCAAAATTACAAAGAGACATTATTACCTATTCAATATAAATTTCCAGCAATATATATACACTCTTTAAATTACTTATAAACCCTTTAAAACAAGCTAAAAATTAATTTTAAACCCCTACTTTTAATTTATTCCCAATTAATGGGTAATTAAAAATCGTTTCAAGGAACATAATTCTAATCTTTATATAAAAATTCCAGCTTTATAAAAACATGTAAAATTGTTGTAATTATGTTTAAAAACACCTATTTCAATAATTCAAACCAACTACAATCAATTTCCATCAATATACATTAATTTAGAAACCTAGGGTTTTCAATTTGAGGCTTTTTAATCTGAAAATTATATTTATACTGATTATAATCAAACATCATAAAAAATCATCACAAAACTCAAAAATAATAATTGAATCAAGGCTAGATAAAAATTAAAACAAGAAGAGTTTTTTTTTTTTTTTAAACACACACAACCGTAAGACGGGGAGGGGGCTACTGCCGCCCTCCACGCCAGCGGTTGCTGCTGGTGGTGGTTGCTGGCGGCGGCGGCGGGCCGGTGGGAAGCGGTGGTGGCGACCGGCCACTTTGTGTGTGTGTGTGTGGTGTGTAAAAATAAAGGGGAGGGGGAAAAATTAAGGGAGACAAAAATAAGAGGAGAGAGGGAGGGAGTTTACCTTTGGGTATTCACCACCTTGGGCAAGATCTAATTTGCTCATAAGATGGGTATTTATACCCCCTCTCAAAACCCTCCTAACCTTAAATTCCCTTTCTTTCCTTAATGACCCTTTCTCCTATTCAAACTAGTCATTTGACTTTCTTTAAAATTCCATTGACTTTAAAATTTCCTTTTATAAAATAATATGCCCCAAAGTTTCTAAATAATAAAATAAAATATTTTCAAAGCAATTAAATAAATAAAAATTGACCTTTAATTAAAATAAACCTTTTTAAATTAATAAAATACCATAAATAATTCATTTCAAATTATTTAAATGCTTCAAAAACTAATAATTTAAATTAAAATACGTATAAAAATTCGGGGTATTACAGGTGGTGGCTGGTGGAGGAATTGTTATATATATATATATTTATATATATATATATATTTTATTTTCGAAGAAATTTTTTTAAAATATTTTAATTGTTAACTAACCACAATTAAAGTTGTTATTAAGAGTTAATTACATTGTTAAACAAATTTATTAAAAAGAAAAAAATAATTTAACCAGGCATTCAGGTTGCAGGTAAAATAACTTGTTTAAAGCGGATACTCCCCAAAGTTTCTATTATTAAAAAATAATCAAAACATTGACTTGTTTTTGGCGGACCACTCAAAGTTTGTACAAGTATTATTTTTGACAATTTTTCCTTATCATTTTTTATTAGTTAGATATTGATGTGCTTTGGTGAAATGGTGACGATTTAAATTAAGTAAAATGTATTGGCTAAAAATAATATGGTGAAAATGTTAGATTAAAAAATTGGAAAAAAAAAGACAAATTAAGCTTGAAACATCAATATTTTTTAAAATAAGCCAAAAAAATTAAATAAAAAATTGTTCTAAACCCGTTGGGTTGACCCGAACCCGAAACTTTGGGTTAGGGTTGAGCATTTCTCGACTCGTGACCCGAAATGACCCGTGACCTGGAGCGACCCGACCCGAATCCGACCCAACCGACACGATTGACAGGTCTAACTACGCCCCTTGTGCGCTCCACCACCGTCTCCATTTTAGAGCTCATCTCATACTAGGGGTTTTGTCACAAAGTATACGTATAATATGGGGTTTAAACTTACACAAGTCTTGTATAAAGCAGGCTTAGGTTTATTTTATTGTAACATGGTCAATTTGACAGTAATTTTAACAATTTTTATTGTTAAAAATATGACGGTTAAAAAAAAATAAAAAAAATCTAAATACCATTTGGGCTTTTGGAAAACTTTAAATCATCCCACAATAAATTACTTAATGAGATAGGGTTCTGTTAGAAAGAATAGTCTACATGTGATTGCTAGTTCAAACCATAGCTTTCATGGAAAAGAATTTAATTACATTTGCCATTAAACATCAATACCCCTTAACTTACCAATATCCGGTCAACTAATCAAAATCATTCACTAACTCGATTCCTTGATTTCAACAAACTAAGTGACCTTAAGTGACATCGTTAGGCAACACCTCAATTAAAAGTTCTCTAAAATTATTTTATTTTATATAATTCAAACCCAAGAAAATAAGATTGAATACCTAAAGATCAATCCTTTACCTTTTGTGTATATTTCAACGCATAAAATTAACCTGTAATTACATATAATCCGACTAGGGGTGCTATTGTGCTAACTGAGCCGAGCAACTCGCGATCGACTCGAACTCAACTCGGTCAACGTTCGGTCAACACTCGACTCGAGTCGGCTCGTGCTTGCTCGATTCTGCTCGAAACTCGATAAGTGTACAAGAATATTTTTCTGTTCTTCTATCTTTAAAAATAATAATTTACCTTAAAATTTAATAAATTTAAATTAATACACTTTAGTAGGAAAAATTTATATAAAGAGAGAAATATAAACAGCAAATGTTTGAAATTTAAAAGACCTAAATCTTTAAATGAGCCACTTAACGAGCACGAGTCGAGAAATCCTCTGCTCGTGATCGATTCGCTCGATTAGCATCCCCAAATCCAACCCAACAAAAAAGACAAGTTCAATCCCTTAATTTCACTAATCGACTCGAACCCAACTCGATGTGACTCGTTTGATACGTGATGTTAATTCCCATGCCTAGTCTCAATGCCAAAGGCAGTTCGGAATTACACAACCAAGTAGGCTCTCGATAAACTCTCTGTTTTCTTTCTTTCTTTATTTTTTTGATGCTGTATAAATAATTTAATCAGAAAAAATTCTAACACGTTTGATTCAATTTTTCATCATCATCCTCTATGTCGGCATTATTACGCCACTGAAATTCAACCCCATTTCTGATCGTTAAATCAATCCTTCAATCTTTTTTCAGCCAAATCGAATAGAGATAACCGATTATTGTAAAAATCTTGAGCCCTTTTGCTTTAAATCTTGCAATTTAATTCATGTTTTCTTCATTTCGTGGTTAATTTGTTGTGATTTGATACACCTGGTTGGTTTTTTATGCGGTTAAATAATTTGAATTTGATCAATTTCGGAATGAACTTTGATTTATGTTTAGGGGATTAGGGTTAGGGTTAGGGTTAAGGTTAAGGTTAGGGCTTGGTGATTAATTTTAGTTGTTGGGTTAAATCTGTTATCATATATTCAATTGTCTGATGATTGATGTGATAAGTTTTTTTTAGATGAATTTTATTTTTATTTTAATTGATTTTATTTTTTTGCATGTTTTTACTGGAAGTTTGTTTGGGAAGAAGAAATTCCATGTTTGGGAAATTGGGTTTTCATGTGAATTAAATATGGAACAGGAATGTAGACAATTTTCTGATGGAGGATGATGTTGAACTCTTTAAGTATTGCTTGATTGGTATACTTTTAAGTTTTAGCTATAACATTACAGCTGACTCTGGACCGAAATCGAGTTCATTCTTGATGATGTTAAATTAGGATGCTCCATTTCTTACAAAAGATTTGGATAAAGTATGGGATCACACTTTTAGAACATAGATTATGTGATTTGGGAGCCCTGTAGTACACTTTACATTGAGTCGAGGTTGGGCAATCGTCCTGACTCCTGACTTCCTGAGTGCTATTTTAAGGCTGAATCTGATGTTATTCTGTATTAATTCAAGGTTGGGTAATTGTTTTGGTAGCTTAGGTCTGAATCTAGTACATTTTGATAGATTACGTAATAATGTAGAGTATATTGTATTATAGGCGTATATCATAGAGTATCATGGTATTTTGTATGGAACTGAGGTTGGGCACTGTTTTGATGGCTGTTTTAATGCTGAAGTGTGCTGTGTCTTTTTTCTTCTTGGTTTGCTGTGGAAAGCTTTTGAGGTTCTGGTTACTAGTTCTTGCTTCTTTTATTGTATGGTCACCTTTATCGTTTTAAAATAGTTGTTGGAAATTATTATTTTCATATGTAGTTTCAAATTTGTGATGTCATGCTTTGATTTTGTGGTTTCCTTCTTTGAAAATTTTTATAATTCGAATTCAATGCAGCCTGAAAATGTCCGTGAATTTGTTCTGCAGTATTAACTATCAAGAGATCATTTGATTCACTGTCCAGGCACTCTTTCACCAAGACTTGTAGATTAAGCATATAAACTTACACAGATTGGAGCGTTGCATGAGGAATTTCCTTTCTTTTACTTTGTGTTGCATACTGTAAGCGTGGTATTATCATTCACTGTCAAATATTCAGGAGCTTCAAGTTCAGAAAATTTCTTCTCAAATCCTTTATTTGGTAAGTGTCACTTGTGGTTAATTGTAATGTGAAACTGGGGTCAATGTGATCTACTTAATTGTAATTGCGTATTCCCTTGCTTGAAGCCATTGCTTGTAAATTATATGATCTTTCATTTAGTTGCTAGTCTTTGTCTTCAAACTTGCTGTGTACTTTGAGACAATAGTTGACATTTGACTACTTTAACTTCATTATTTTTGAAGTTGAATCTCTTCACTTTTTTTGTTTTGGTAAAAGATTTGATCTTTCCGGTGGTCATCTGCCTCTTTCATTTTGGTTTGTTGCAGTATGCAAACTTCTATGCTTGTCATCTATGTTACTCAGGTCTCAGGTTCAGGTACTTTTGTAGAACATGGTCACATGTCAAAGAGTTGGATTCAGTTTTTTTTTTTTTTTTTTTTTTTTTTTTTTTTGTAAATATTTTTTTTATTAGTAGAAAATTCTATGTTTTTGGTATAAATGTAATATCTATGCATTTATTAGAATGTTGAGGATTTGGCATAGTTACTTGATCTATGAAACATACTTCGTAGTTTGTTAGCTGTACCAGTTAGGCAGTCAACTTTCTAGATTGTGCTGTCTATTTTATTAGTGAGGGCATGGTCTACCTTCAATATATGTATATAATATGAAGAGCCTTTTTTCAAAGAGGTTAGTGTAATTATTATTAAGGGAAAAAAATGCATAAGTGAACAGGTACTTGGAGAATTATTTTTGCATATTGGATTTCTAATAAATAGTACTAAGTGGATTGCTGTAATTTTAGTAATAAAAAAAAAAAAACAATTTATAAAGGCCGATATGGGTATGACGGTGAAATGTTTTTGTGGCTTCAGTATTGGTGATTGCATAGGCTGCCCATTTTGAGAATATAATTAGCAGATCTGTGGATAGATTTGTGAGTGCATTGGGGACAGATGATCATTAGTTTAGACTCTTTCTACTTCTTTGTGCTGATGTATTGACGCATTGTGGATTGCTGGGCTGAACCCATGTCAGCCATGTGTACATCATGCTCACCCTCTTTTGTACTCCAAGTGGACACAATGCTCGTGCCTGTTTCAATGTATCATCCTTTTTCTAGACTTGTTGATTTGCCTGTTTTCTGTTTACATTTTCACTTGAGTTGTTTGTGGATGCTAATAACAGCATCAAGGACTCAAGTTGATGGATGTGGGAAAGCTTAGGGATGTAATTTATAGCTCATGCTGTTACGTTTGACTTTTGAGGATGTTAAATTTTTAGTTTAGCCTTTGATATGGAGCTTGGAAGCATAAAGGAAAGCTGGAACTCTTGTATATATCTTATATCTCTTAGGTTGTCTGACCTGTACTTTTTAGAATGATAATAGGGTATATGCTAGCAGGAATTTGTCCTGTAGACCTATATGCATTTACTTTGCCTGTACAGTTGCAACTTATTTTTTCTGGGTTGATCTAGAGTATTCTGATTCCTGGGGTAACTTGTTATATAGACCAAGGTAATGGCGAATATAATTTATTTTTCTTTCTAGTATATGTGTTTTCTGTCATATAGTAATATAATGCTTGTGTATTCCTGAGGATATAATTGCCTGTTGGAAGAGCTTAGTCCAACAAGTACAAAGTATGGGATTATGTGAAGTTTGTGAGATTGGATTGCCTCAATGAATTAAACCTATTTTTTGATAGGTGTTGTTTACGCTATCAAACTATTATATTACTTTAGTTTACCTAGGAGTATATTTATATTCTTTTGAGGATTGGGTGATGATGATGGCTATAGAGAATACGCCTAAAGGCTGATATTACACGTTCTATATGTATGCTCCCAAGACTTCGAAATTACTACCCAATTTGCTAGTCTACTAGGCTTTCTTCCACTTGATCTCTATTGAACCGAAACTATTTTTACCAATTAAAACTGATTTTACTGATTAAAAACTATGTATAATAAAATGGTTTTTTTTTTTTTTTTTTTTTTTTTTTTTTTTTTTGGGACTTTGTTATAGATATTGGTATAACTTTATAATCGTATATGCTGCCTTTGGTGACTAGATGAGTGTTTTGGTTTTTACATACTTGTCATGTACATTGGTACACTGTTGCTCTTACTGGTTCTGATATCCGAAAATTTGAAGTGCCAGGATCCTTTCCACAATCCAATAAATTGTTTATATAATTATATCTTCTCTAAGAAATTCTTTGATTGTCTTAACTTCGAAAAGATCTCTAATATGTTCTTCTGAGATACTTCAGTGCATACAAGATGGCCGGTAAGAAAAGAAGCATGTCCTTGGATGCAGATGTGTGTGATGTGCAAAAGGAATGGGATGCAGCATTGTGCCCCATCTGCATGGAACATCCTCATAATGCAGTTCTTCTTTTGTGCACCTCACATGCAAAAGGCTGTAGATCTTATGTCTGTGATACAAGTTACAGGCATTCAAATTGCCTGGATCGGTATAGGAAACTCAAGACAGACTCCAACACCAATTCACCAGATGCCTCACTTGATCCTACAAACCTCCAGGATTCAAGCCTGGTTTCTGACCCTCAATTAACCCCATTGTTTGGGAATGAGTTACCTGTGCCTCATAGGGCCCACAACAGAGGCAATAGAATCATTTCAACTAGAAGGTCCAGTGATTCTGCTGATTATGATATTGAACGACAGGCTATAGGAAGACAAAATTTCGAATCTTTGAGGGATAGGTTGGAACATGATGAACTGGCAAAAAAATCAAATTTAAAATGTCCTCTATGTAGGGGAGATGTATTAGGGGTGACAGTTGTAGAAGAGGCTCGTAATCATTTAAATTTGAAGTCTCGGAGCTGTACTCGAGAATCATGCACATTTGTAGGTAACTATCGTGAGTTGCGCAGGCACGCAAGGCGTGATCATCCCAAAGTTCGACCTGCTGAAATTGATCCATCAAGACAGCGAGCTTGGAGACACTTGGAGCATCAGAGAGAACATGATGACATTGTTAGTGCTATCCGATCAGCTATGCCAGGTGCTGTTGTGCTCGGTGATTATGTGATAGATTACAATGATAGAGATAGGCCACCAGTTGAAAGGGAGAGGACATCATCAGATGCTAGTGGGCGTTTGTTTACTACCTTGTTTTTCTTCCAGATGCTTGGATCTATGCAATCCTTGGCAGGACCAAGGAGTCGTTCTCGGCCATGGACAAGGCATAGACGCTCATCAGGGGGTTCATCCCGGCAGAGGTACCTTTGGGGAGAGAATCTTCTTGGCCTACAAGATGAAGATGGTGATGGTGATGATAGCTTTACAGACGATGATGAGATGAATGTGTTTGCGGATGAGGCAGAGCCAGGCACCTCATCCGCTCCAAGACAGCGACGTCGTTTAACCCAATCTGGGTTTAGGAGAGACCGCTTATGAAATATTAATCTTGAATGGGTAATGAGATATGGGGGAACTTCTCTTATAATTTACTGTGCTTAATACCTTCTTTGCTTTATCTTGATAATGTGTATACGATCAATCTTTGTCATATGCAGAACCTTCATCTACCAGCGTAATGATAACTGATCATTAGTCAGAAGGGCAGTAGTCTCAAGCGATTTGCTCTGAAGGTGGCATCATGGTCGCAGTTGGAGATTGCCAGGTTCAAATTAGCTCTGCTATGTTTAGCTCTTCATTTCTTTATGTTTTAGTGGCCTGTTAAATTTAGTGAGCTTAATTTGAGCTTGCTGTTGTAAATTTAGGTTTCTCAGGTCAGGAACATTTCAAATTCAATTTGAATCACCCATGTATAGTTTGCATATTTACATTTAAGAAAATTGCCATCTTCTTTTTCAAGAAAAATCTCTTTATCTTTCAACAATCAATGCATTCTTTCGTGGTCTGACTTGCTACGTAAATGGAATGTGCTTGATCGCAGTGCTTTATAGATGAGTGTGGAATCATATGAGCTGTAGTTGTTGATGAGTCACTATGTGTTACACTTTTACTGACTTATCGTATATAGACCCTCCATCCGTGTTACTAGGTCAAGACCTCATCGGTCACTCGCAAATATGTCCACAACAGTATTGTGGCAATCATCTAGGGGATTGCTGATTAATAATTATATGTTCCCTTTCTAGTTTGTCATGTTATATGAGGTCATGTCTCTAACTTTATTTTAATAAGGTTATCATTTGCTTTTGCTCTAATATAGGACACTAATAAGATTTATCATTTTACTTTTGCACTAAGCAACTAATGGAGTGTTACTAAGTGATTAAGAGCACAATTTTCAACCACGTCAACTCAAATTAACTGAATTCGTTTGACAATATTGTGAAATGTAATTTTGCTTGTGTTTCTAAATTCCATACCAAAATCTAGATCAACTATGATTAGGATGAACCAACGAAGAGTAACAAGTTATGGAGTACAAATTACAAAAAATTGAGTGGTCCCTATATTGAAGGACCACCCTAATAAGTAATGATCAATCGAACGAGGGAATAATTGAGCTTGAAACATGATATTGTGATCTTCATAAAACTTATAAATCACTTGAATATGTTACAAGATTAAACTACTAGAATCTTGATCTAACTGATAAAAAGATTGCAGAAAAATATAATCTATTTAATTAATATAGACCACATGCGTAAATAATAGTACTAGAGGTTTTATTTTCAAATAATGTGAGCCACTTTTGTTTAGTGTTAGTCCAACTAAACATACTCTATACTTTCTATGTTCCTTTTTTTTTTTTATAATTATTATTATTATATATATTTGTAAGTTATAACACGTTTTTGAAAAGGTGATTAGAAAAGGTTAATGGATGGATTACGCTATAAAATTTAAATCATACATAGTAACAACTTAATAATTCTTCTTATCAATGATAAAGTTTTTTCAATTAATTTGTCCATTTACCTAGTTTAATATCTTCTTTAAAGTACGTGCTAAAGTACCGAAGTATACCTTGATACTCCGTTTTTAGTACTCCGTATTATTCAATAAGCATAAGACTTGCTTATTGAATCTAATTATTATTAAATTAAAATTATTGTTATTGATATAAATGATGAAATCTTTGTGTTACAAATGAGGGAGGGGGGGGGGGGGGGAGGGGCTGGCTATAATCAATCAAAATTCAAGATTTTTTTTTATACAATTTAGATCTATTTTTGCAAAATCAAAAGATTAAGATGTATGCACCTTTAGCTCTAAAGTTACAACAAAAGTAGAAAATGCTTGTTTTCAAAAAAAAAAAAAAAAAAAAAAAAAAAATGCTTGGAGAAATTAAAGGAACGTGAGGGGAAAGGATGATAGTGTGATAATACTAAGTATCAATCAAGCATTAATATAACGCATTATTTTGCTATGCATTATTGAATTAATACTTAGTATATTTGTATCATTATTTTAATTGCATGAATATATATATCATAAACATTAATGTGTGTTTTTCTCTTCCCTCTATTCCATCAACCCTATAATATAAGGAATTTTTTTTTTTTTTTTTGACAAGTATAATATAAGGAATTTTAAGTTTGTCAATGAATGTTTTTAGTAAAAATTAGAATTTAATATCAATTTCATGATTTAACCACAATTTTTATTTGGCCTACAGCATCAAAATTAGATGAAAAACATCAACACAAAGATGATTGAGTAAAAAACTAAAAATATTGGATCAACACTTGTTCAATCGATTGGACTTCAAGACATAAAGTCCTTTCATTAATTTCTTTCCAATCAAGCACAAAGAACATGCATTAAAAAATTAAAATTCACACCACCGTCCATATATACAAATGTACTACAATAACATAAATGAAGAACAATTAGTCTTGCATCTCTTTGTTGTTAGCGCAGTGAAAATCATGTTATTTCTTCCAAATTCCCCTAAAATGGGGACATCTTCCTATATTCCCTCTCTTTCTAGATCAAGTTTGACCATTAAGATTAGGCCACATCTCCCACGTATATCTAATGATGAGAATAGAGACACATCACCCCACATGTACGTGTGTCCTTAGAATATTTTGATTAGGATATTTCAGTGAACCTTTGACACATAACTAAAGACAATGCCACTCGAAGATACTTACGGCTTGTTTGGTTGAAATGAGAATTAAATTTTCACAGAATGTTGTTTGGGTGATGTTATTGATCTCTTATATGGAGTACGAACAATTATATGAATGATTAACATTACTATTAGGGTTCTGTTTGTTCTGGCAGAAAACTTTTTCCGAGAAACTGATTAAATTAATATAAAATTTAGATTGTGATTAGTAGTTGATTGGTAGGTTCCTCACTCCCATGTGAGCATATACGGTAGTTTAGCTAGTTTAATTTATGATCTACTTGAGATCTAACAACCCATTTTGCCAACATTGTTTTCATTACCTAATAAAATATCTATTTTCCTTACGAGCTCAACCATCAACAATTAGCAATTGAATTTGATGTATTTATAGCTTTGAGAAGGATTGAGAGGGAGACCAATTGCTTAGTATAGTTCTTTGTGGACTATAGTTTGCTACTTATATAACACAAGTATATAGTGGATTAAGATGAGGTCCATAATTCATGTACTATATCAAAGATATGAAATTATGGACCATTATATTATGAGAATTGAATACTTGGGAGAAGGATTGAGTGGGAATGGGAGTGCAAGTGCCTGCTATTGCATGTAATTCTTTTTGTGTAGAGTCTAATGATAAGGATCTTGTCATTAATCACACGTATAAATTGTTTTAAGAAAGAGTACATATGTACTTGAGAATATATGGTTCAAAATACGATCGACATTATTTTAATTTTTTTTGAAATAAATAAATTTATTAATAAAAAGTCATGCGAGATCGATTTACAAATGAAATCTAAATTTAACAAATACTCAAAAAAAAAATCAAATAAGGGTTTCTTTCATCGAAACTACGATCATTGAATAGATCTTGCACCAACACAGAAAAAAAACGTCTTTTTTACTGAAAAACCTCTTGATAAATAGTTGCCCTTGTCCCAAGTTTGAGCTTTTTTATTTTTTACTTTTTTTTTAATTTTGAGGAAGGAATGGCAAACAAAAAGAAACTTTAAACTTGATTTTAGAAGAATTTCATTTTGGAATGACTATAGGAGAAAATAAAGGTAAAAAATTCTATAAAAAAAAAAAACATAATATAGATATTATTAATCCCTCTATTTCATAATGTTAGTCTCATATGGAATCAATTACATAAAATAAGAAAAGAAGAATATTTGGAATCTAACATTAAAGTACAAAATAATTCATAATTAGTTTACTTATTTAAGTTTTTTTTATTTTTTTTGGGAAAGCATAAGTTATAATTGCATAATTCAAGGTAGAGATTTCCTTACTTAAAGTCATGTCATCAATCCACAACCAATTAATTCCAAAAAAAATTGAGTTAAAAATGGAACATATTCAATATGGGTAGATCTTTTTGAAACACCCAAAATAATATATGGGACTTAAGCTAGTATATGTTGTGCTCTAAATTTATGATTAGTGATCTAGTTATGTTGTGCACTTGTGCATGTTACAATTTACAAAGAATGTATTGCAGTTTTGATATAAAATAAAAAATAAAAATATAGATCTATGAAGTTAATGGATTTCAATTCTTGTGAACCTTAAACGGCAATTAGTCTTTAGTGCTACAATCTCCCAAGTGATAATTATGGAAGGCAACAAAAGTCATATGAAGTGTCTAGTCTAATATAAACACTAATTATCATTACCTAAAAAAGAGTTATATATTTATTTATCAATTAAAAAAATAAAAATCATGTGGAGTACTGGAGTGTTCTTTCGGGAAAATGGTTGGTATCTTTCTTTATTTATGGTAATGGAAAAGTATTAGATACATCCAATTCGAATTATTTATTACAGTATAATCATCAATAACTATATACTAAAGGCGAAATAAAAAATGATACATGTCATTTTTTGGTTGAAAATTTTCCCATTTTTTTCAGTTTCTTTTTTTTATTTTCCAATTTTTCATAATTTTTTTTTGGCAATTATATATATGAAGTATATTCTATATTGCATTCAACAAAAATTTTTTAACATATTTTTCATATATATTACGTATAAGGTAATATATTAGAATTTACTATTATTCAACTTTGTATATATTTATTTTTTTGAAAGTTATTTTGCTCAGACCGGGAATGACACTTAGCTTAGTATATGTTTATTGTTTATTTATAATAATAATAACATTGCTATTCAATAGCTTATCGCCAAAAAAAAAAGTCAATTAATTTTGTATAAAACATTGTTTTGATCAAAATAGAGTATGCCAACAAAATAGGAACGGGTGATGGTAATCAACATAAATTTTCATTATAAAATAAAATCAATAACTATATACTAAAGGCGAAACCAAAAATGACACATGCATTTTTTGGTTGAAAATTCTCTCGTCTTTTTTGCTTTCCTTTTTTATTTTTCAAATTTTCATAATTTTTTTTTGGCAATTATATATATGAAGTATATTCTATATTGCATTCAACAAAATTCTTTTAACATATCTTTCATATATACTATGTATAAGGTAATATATTAGAATATACTATCATTCAACTTTGTATATATTTATTTTTTTGAAAGTTATTTTTGCTTAGACCGGGATTGACACTTAGCTTAGTATATGTTTATTGATTTATTTATAATAATAACTAGGTTTAAATCCCGTGTAATACACGGTTGTTAAATATTTTTGACAATAATATTACAAAATATAAAGTATATAAAAGATATTCAGAAATATTTTATTTGGGTATATATGGAATATGATTGTTAAACTGGAAATAAAATATCAGAAGGTATAAATAGTTTACTTAAAGATTTTGCACAAAAAAAAAAAAAAAAAAAAAAAAGAAAGAGAGAGAGAGAGATGTGAAAAAGGCGAGAAAATTTTTCACAAGGTAATGATGACAAGTGTCATGGAAGGATTTGCTTTTAGTATAGGTTAATAGATAACATTGCTATTCAACAACTATAAATATAAATTGATCATTAAATATCGCCAAAAAAAAAGTCAATCAATTTTGTATAAAACATTGTTCCGGTCAAATTAAAGTATGCCAACAAAATAGGAACGGGTGATGGTAATCAACATAAATTTTCATTACAAAATAAAAACGTATAATCATTCAATTTCTTACATTTTTTAAGAAAACGTTTAATAATGATAAATAAGTTTTCACATCAAATATACCTATAATATACAAGGTTTTTTTTTTCAAATTATTGTTAAATTAACGTTGTAATTCATAATTAGGTTAAGTAAAATCGTGCATTGCACGGAACTTAAGCTAATATATACTATGACCGTGTTTGGTTTAAAAGATCACAAATAAAAAGTCCCATTTGATTTGAGAATTTTTCCCTTATGAACCTATTAACTTGATCAGTTTTGAAACTCCGATCCTTGATATAACAAGAACTTAACACATAACACTTGCGTTTTATTTTTGCTAACTATTTATAAAATAGTTTAATGCTTTCTAAAACACCCATAAGTTCATAATACAATCTAATTGGTTGATTAACTTGAATCTTGCTCCTTTCACTAAAATAAACCTACATATTATAGCTAGCAAAGATATGTAGCAATAAGTTATTGTGCACTAAATGCATTGATTGGTCATTCACGGATAAACAACCTGCACCCATCTTTTTCTTAATAATTTCATTCTATTGTTTGATTGATACTCATTAACCAAATGTAACCCACAACTCTACACCCCCTAAGAAAATGACCCCATAGGTATCTCAATTTCTCAATGGTGAAAAATACCAAATTCATTGATGGTTTGGTGAACCGATAATTTAGTTAATTTCAATTTCAAGTATGTGGTACAAAAGATTGCCACCAATACCAGCTCAAAAAATCTAAACTTTCAATGTTAAGAATCTCAAAAATCAAACATTATGCTGATTACAACAAGTTTAGAGCAACGTAAGTGTCAACTAATTTCGAACTGATGAGAAAGTAGTACGTGAGTTTCCAGTATTATATAATATACACAATTTTTCCACATTATATGCAAAATTGGATCACAAGGCCAACCAGCCCCCACTCTATGCCAAGTTGTCTCCCTTTCCTAACACTTTCCCTAAGATTTTCCAATTTCCACTCTAATTAAACTCTCTTGAATTGTCTTCTTCTTCCAAGATTTGCAACAACTTAGACAAGAATCTTTTTTGCTACACAAGTCACAAAGACAGCACAGATAGATCTCCTTTGTGCTGTCCAGTTGACCCAAAAAAAAAAAAAAAAAAAAAAAAAAAGCCAAATTATTAAGATTAAAAAATTAATCTGATTTCTTCAAAAATTAGCAAGGAAAGTCTACTAGTATAAAAGGCACATTCATTGCCATGCAGGTGAACTTTACAGTACTTTTTGATGATCCCATCAAAATTCCTTTCTTTTTTGTCACACTAATTATTTAGTTAGTACTAACACATCGTAATTAGGGTTTTCTAATCTTACAAGTAACACATTAATATATAACAGGTTCTTCAGTGGTTATTCAAGGTTGCACATGATCAAAAACAGGCTGATGATCTCTCCAAGGGTATAGTAATTAAACATACATAAACTGACCTTAAACGACACATTCGACCGATTTCTATTGATTTATCGCGCTTATTTGTATATGTATATTCATAAATAGTATTTGTTTTCCTGATATTTTGCAGTAAGGGAACCATCAAAGGAGGTAATTTCTTACAAGAGAAAAAGAGATCTTAACAAGGTTCGAAAACCCGAAGAAACGTCCCTAGACTGTAAGAACTTAAGGTACATAGGTTTGTTACTTAGGAGAGGTAACTCAAGAACATATTTTTCTAGGACACTTAATCAGAATATATTAAGCAGCCTTAACCCGAGGCTAACACAGCAACAACGACGATATATTTTATCAATGAAGATGAAGGAAGATCTGATTCGCGGTCTAGGAAAACATAATCAGAAGGCAGATCTAAGTTCTCATGCTGGAAATAAGGTCTTGCCAATTAGTGATTCGACGAATTCATCATCAACAACAACAATAAGCAGCAATGCAGATGAGAAGCAGCATTGCAGACAGTCTGATCAGAAGAAAGACAGATCAAATAAAGGAGATGGTAATAAAAATAAGACGATTTCGAGGATGAAGGAGCTTTTGAGATGGGCTGCTGCTGCTAAATCTGAAAAGGGAGGGAAATTCGGAAAAAAGGTATGACAAAATGCGTATGTGCATAGGCAGATCATTTTTTTTTTCCGTGCTGTCATGATTCAAATTTAGTTGTCACGTCACTAGTTCAGATTACACTATTAACGTGACTATTTTTTTTATGTTTTTTTGGGCTGTTAAGGTCATGCACTTCAGGAATAAATCAGCGACGGTAAAATCAGGAGGTTTTGATGATGAAATAACAAATGAATCTCCAAAGATTAGTATAGCATGGGAAGTACAGAGTTATTCCACTACTTGTTCTGCAGCTTCAGCTCCTCCTTCGATCAAGTACGATGAATTTGCTCGTAAGACGGGGAGTTGGATCACAACAGATGATGAATGTAAGCTCTCTTTCTGTCTGATGTTATGTACTTTGATCCTAGATATAATTTATTTGTGTTTAAAAGTATATTTGATTTAATTGATGGTCAGTAAATTGACTAAAATGTTCAAATCCTAGATTTAATTTACTAGTATTTTTCAAGTATATTTGATTTAATTGATGGTAAGTAAATTGACTAAAATGTTCAAATATGACATGAATGGACGGACAATCGAATAATTTTTTCATACTTGAATAATGGTTTAGATTCATTAGAACTTGTAAATACCAAAATCACTTGAATCATGTCTTATGTGTTATGTTGAATTGTTGATTATAAAGGCATAACTATGTATGTTACGGAGTAAAATAACTTACAACATTATAAATAAAGAGATTGGGGAATTCGAATATATGTGACTTGTACACAAAATTTGATTCTGCATCGACTTTATACCAATTCATTTTCGGGAAATGAATGGCTTCTTTTCGTTCAAACTAACTAGTGTGTGTCCCGGGCGAATTACTAGTTTGTAATTTTTACTTCTTTAATTTGATAATTATGTTCAATTGTTGTATAGCTAGTGTGTGATTCGGACGTTGTCTCGGATGTTACAGTTTTTTTTACCTCTTATGTATTTATTTTCTAATCATGTGAAGAATAAATAAATTAAATAACCTCTAATTGAAAAGCAATATATAATGTTAATTATGTGAAATTTAAAACACTAATATAAGTTGGTTGAGATGATAAGTGAATAACCTTTATTTGTTAGAGGCTGCAGGTGAAATAAAGTTGCAAGCTTACGTCTTGCATGTACTTTGAATAATGACATGGCATTGTGACATGGTGTCATGTACGTTAAATAGTGCCACATGACACCGTTCCTTTAAAAGAAACGTCTTTTAATATATGATATAGATAATTGTACCGAATAACACTTTTTTCCCTGTTCCTCCCCTGGCCTTGTGGTTTAATAGCTAATATGTGCCTTATTTTGTTCTTCTTTTTCTTTGTTTGGACAGTTGTCGTGCTAGAGCTATGAAGAGCGGACAAAAGAGGCAAATCGAGTATCATTAGCTTAAATAAGATCAAAGGTTATTCAGTACCCGTAAAAAAAAAAAAAAAAAAAAAAAAAAAGAGGGTAATTTAGTGACTAAAATCAGAAAATGTACTACTCGTACTAGTTTTTGTAATATTTTGCTAGATGGATGTTGTACATTATCAATTGTCTATATATTGTAGACTATCACCCAAGATTATGAAGACGTTTACGACTTGATCTTTTAGGGAATATAAGACAAGCTGCGCCATGGATATGTCTACCTTTTCATATAGCTCTCGGTTCTTCCTCCATACTCTATACTAGCCAGAGGTAGAAAGCTTCCTCCGTTTTTTTCCCCTATAATTGTAACAATTTGACTTTTTTTTGTATTTACATATTTTATTTTGACTGAATATTTGACACTTTCAGTATTCACAAATTTTACTTTGACTAACTATTTGACACTTGTAGTATTCACAAATAAAGTTCGGTTAAACTCGTATGTTAGTAATCAAATGAATTTGAACATAATTGCAGTTGTGTTCAGTAATTAAATGAGTTTGAACAAAATCTTCTCCTTCATTGTACACTATTAACGTCAAATTATTAACACACACAAGCTAAGAAAAGCATGCAATACGTGCATAATATTTAAGATAGTTTAATTTTAATTCTAATTTACAAAGTCAATTTTTTTAATAGTTCAAAATTAAATTGTTAGAAAGTTTTGTTGCATATATCTTTTATTATGCCTTAAAACAACAACAGCAAAGGTATGGAGCCAAGGAAACATGTGGTTATTAATTAAACTAATAATCAGAGGTTAACAAATTGAAAATGACATCACATGATGAATTATCATATCATGCACATCATATTGTTTGTTACACATTTTACTATTGGGGAAAATTTATAAATATATGTAAGTTAAAAAAAAAAAAAAAAATTATACAATTTCATAGGTAGTACATCTTTTATATTAAACCGTTATGAAATTAAAACTAATAATTTGATATGTTACTATCCCTGCCCTTATGTAGGGGTGAAAGTAATTCAAATTAAAACTAACCGAACTGAAAATAAGATTGGATTTTTTTTTTAATTTGGATTGGATCGGATTGGTGTGGAAAAATTTTAAAAATGTGGATTACCGTTTGGGTTTAAAAGAACCGAAAACCGAATTATGAACCGAAATTTTGGCCCATTACATTAATTAAGAACATTATCTTTTACAAAGTATCTCAACCTTTTTCCACTTTCACATGTAAAACAAAAAAAAACTATAATTCGTAATTCTCCTTTCTCAGTATCTCACGCTCTCACAATGTCACAACTCATTGCTCACGCCACATCTTCACACTTTCACTCTCATTTCACACTTCATCTACTCACCGATCACCCTCATCAGTCACATCTTCACCATCTCTCCCTCCTCTCTCAATTTCTTCGACGTTGTTAGTGGATACTAGAAGTACGAGAAAAGGTTCAATGATTGTAGGAGTTTCCTGGGTGAAATTCAAGTTTCGGGTTTGAATGTTGCGAAAGAAAAGAACAAATTTCGGTTTCGATTGGATTTTAATTAGAAAAATGAATTAATTTGGTTCGATTTGGATTCGCTTTGAAAATTCCAATACTGAATTAATTTGGTTTTGACTATAATCCAAACCACAAACCGAACTTTCACTCTACCCTTATCTAAAGTAGTATTTAGTTTTCGCAATTTCTATAGTACTCCTGGAGTAACATGAGCCAGGGGGTCAAAACACCGGCATTTCAATTTATTTATTTTTAAAAATCGTTTCTCTATTTTTGTTCTCCTGCTCTTCTCTTTGTCTTACTTTATTTTTAAAATTCTTCAAATAATCTCAGAATTATCTGCAACATTCAAGATCTATCTTCTTCAATCGATCTATTATTAAGAAATTTTGTTGAATTGAAGAGCTAATTGTTCAAATTACCAAAATCAGAAAAATTAAAAACCTAAAAATCAAATTGAGCGTTTTATATTTGTGAGAATCTGATAAAATTTGAACAGCAATTTGAATGAAGATGATTTTATTTAAAGAAGAGAAATAGAATCGAACAAATTTATGGGAATTTGCAGACGAAATTTGACGTAGAAAATAATTTACTGAAAATTAATTGAGCTCTTGTTTTTGAAGAGGGATATTAACATGTTGTTGTGTAAAAATAACATATGTTTGACAAAATAACAAAAGGTTGAAGCAAAATAACACAAAGTTCAAGTAAGATAACACAATCTTTTAGCAAAATAACAAATGATTTCAGCAAAATAACACAAGGTTTGCGTGAAATAACACAAGGTTATAGTAAAATAACACGGGCTGAGGATTACGCAAAATAACACTAGAACTTATCAAAATAACACATGGTTTATGTAAAGTAACACAATGTTTTAGCAAAATAATATAAGGTTATTTTAGCAAAACAACAACACATACAAGGTTTGCGTAAAATAACATAATGTTCTAGCAAAATTACATAGTATTTTAATTAGTAAAATAACATAAAGCTTGCATAAAATAGCACAACATTTTAGCAAATTCAAAAATAACATAGATTCGATTGAATTAAATCAAATTAACATATTTAGTTCAAATTAGAAGTACATTTTCAATTAATTAAATTAAAATCAAAAACAAAAACAAATTTAAATCTACTTACTTTTTTTGCTCATTATTGTTACGATTGTCGTATCTTTATATTATTCATGAATATCAACCATTTTTTATGTAGTGAAATTGATTTTCAACTTCGATTGAGCAATTTTGTGCTTGTTTGAGTGGTTAAAATAATAATTAAATTTTTTTTTGTGGTTTTTGTTGAGAAGAATGAAGGATTTGATGATGCTAAAATGGTGGGTTGGGAAATTAGAGAGAGAAAAGGTAGGGAGAGAGAAATGAAATTGAAATTTTGATTATTTTAGGTTTATTTTCATTTATATTCTCACAGATTTTTTATGTTATTTTATTTTAAAAATATGTTATTTCACTTAATATGTTGGAGTACTATGAGCATGGTACTCCAGTAGTATTTAATACTGAATCTATAAAATAGTTTTATAGTCTCTTATTTGAAATAACTTATTAAATTATGAATACTACACCGAATGGATGCATTTGGTATTTTGGTATGTAAGATCATTTTTTTTTAATGTAATTGTGTCACTTGACTTACGACATTTTCACAATTATTGCACTATATCTATATTATATTATTATGAAAACAAATATTTTTATTCACGCTGCACATAGCCAAATACCCAATATAACTTTACTTTTTAACATTCGATTTTTTAAGTAAATTTTTACTCTTCTCTCTTTTATGAAACTATGAATACTACACCAAATGGATGCACACATTTAGTATAAGCATATACAAATTATATATATAATCCTCATAAGTTTTGTTTTTTGGATAAACAAAGAATCAAATAATACTATGAGACTCAGACATGTCAGTTTCACCTTTTGCGTATATTTACACCATATACACCAAATAACTTAGCCTTGTCTTTTTGCCTTTGATGACTTATTGAACTCATTCATTCGCATTTGATGTTCAAAAATAAGATTGATCACCCAAAAAGTTGCAAGAAGACCATGGTCTTCCTACGTAAAAGCATTTAAAAACAATTAATAAAATAATTAAATCAAGGTCGATTGAAAGATCATTTAACATAAGGATCAGGTTGAGACAAGTAAAAAAAAAGACGAGAATAAACACTATTATCGAGTTGAAAAGAAAGGACAAAATCATCTAGGTAAGATTTGCAAGATGTTCGGTAAATATATATATATTTCACGTAATTTGTTAATACAGTTATAATACTCTTTACATTTGTCCTCTTTTCTTCTCTTGTTTTTTCTCTTGAATCAAATTTTTTTTATTTTTGTTTGAGCTTTTTTTTATTCTTATAAATCAAATTCCTTTCATTATTGTTAGGTCTTCATTTCTTCTTTTATTCCTCATCTTGAATCAACTTTAATTTTTATTATTAAACGCAACTCTTTTCTTCCTTTTTTTTCAAATTTCTAATCTACACTTTAAAGTTTTTTTCTTTTGGTATAATAACTCCATAATCTAAATATTTTAGGCATTGCTGAAATCTTCTTCTTCCAAAAAAAAAAAAAAAAAAAAAAAAAAAAAAAAATATCTCTACAAGAATTAGAATAAAGATAGTAGTAGGTTATCATGTATAAACTCAAAAAAAAATTATTAATAATTATATACTTATGTAAACATTAATTTAATTAACTAATTACCCATCAATTAGAAAATTATCAACATATTTTTATAGAGCATATGCACATTAGGCATACACACTATCTGTCTCATACATATGTTTCCGAGCACCAACACAACACAAAAATTTAAGCTTTTGAAGAACTCTTTAACAAATGGAAAATGCACAATGAAAAGAGAAGATTGAGAAACTTACCAGTAAGATCCCTTTTAGTCTACAAACTCTGCCAAGTAGCTCCAAGACCATGCCTTTTTTGTCTTGATGGTTGACCATGATTTTAATACTTATAAATTTTTTGTCCAATTAAATTAGTTAGAGTTCTCTTAAGTATTTTCGATCCATTAGCCACACACTTTAAAGTGGGCTAAAGAAGGCTTGTTACTGTGGAAGAAAGAAAGGTTAAGTTTATAGTCCATAAGAAACAAACAAAAGAGACATACACTACTCCAACCCTAAAAAACACATCAACCCAAAATCAATAATCCAAAACAATAACAGTAGAATTATACAAGGAACTATCAAAACAATATATGAAACATGTCCACAAAGATAGTGTTAATCACCTTCACTTACTATTTATAATTTGATGAACTTCAAGTCTTGATTAATGATCGGTTTCTTTTTTTCTCAAATGAACAAAGAAGGGAGGATAGGTTCATTAAAATAAAAAAAAAAAGATATGGAAATTTGCCATAAATAATTGAAGTAATTGAGTGTGAGATCCAAATGAATTGAAAGATTCAAGTTTGGTTCGAGAAGGGATCTTGAAAGTTTTGAAATGAATGGAAAATCCACTTTCATTAAGTGATTTATTAGATAATCGAAAACAGAGGATCTTGAA